CAAGATCAAGAGTCATATGCTCTACCAACTGAGCCAGCCAGGCACCCCAATAATGCTTAATCTGCAAGGAAGAAACGAACTGCAGACTGTTTGGAGGGAAAAAGTAACAATTCCATAGTTTTTGCTGTTTTGATCGTAGTAATTGAGATGACGGTGCAGGTGAATTTTTAGGTCTGGACTGGGATAGATAACCATGGTAAAGCAAAAGTTGACTTTTTCAAATCAAGACACTCAGGGTCTAAGCTTAATGGTGAATGTTTCCCCTCTGAGATCATGTGGCTTAAATAATCACAACAACAAGCAGAAGCATTTCCACTTCGCTGGGACCCTGGACTTACAGGAAATTACTCTTCTGCATGTCTGATCACTATGGAAATTGATTTTATACAGATAGCTAAAAGTACACAGACCCACGACTGCATGCTCCCATATTTGTACTGGTGAGCAGTACCTGCGCCTCATTACCCAAGCCTCCTGGGTATCTGGAACAGCAGGTTGTTTTACCTCCTGGCTGGAGAGTACCCTCTCTGCACTCCTACATCCTGTAAGGCCACTCTTGAGTTCAGGTACCTGACTCCAGGCCCTCTGAGCTATAAATGTGGTCACACATAGTTAGCACAGCAGGGGAGAGAACATGTTGGACACCGTGGCATAATGCGGGTGAGAGAAATAGCTGTGTTTCAAGTGGAGAAAGTTGAAAGGCAGGGGCTCTTCCCTTTGTGATATTAACATGCCTAGAAATAGACCCAGGCTTGTGTGAAAATGGTATTGCACGTGCTGTATGCTTGTCCAGTTGATTTCTGAGGGCCGACGGATGCGGATGGCTGGTTTGGCCAGCAGCTCTATCTGCCATTTGTGCCTATCACCTGCAGCCGATCAGAAGAGAGGTCCTCACTGCTCTCGGCTCCCACCTGCAGCCCTTGAGAGTCTAATGATCGCGTTCTATCCGTGCCTCTGAAGGAAAGCACAACTTTCTAAAGCCCCCCACAACTGTCACGTGAACTAAACCACAGATGGAAGGAACTCTGGAGTGCAGGTACTGGATGAACGCAAGCATTGGGGTCCTCGGTGCTCAGGGTCTGAAATGGAAAAGCCCTCGTTCTGCAGTGCCACCGACATTCTTCACGGATTTTTAAATTTTCGTAGTTTAGGTTTTTAAGTTCCCTCTCTACATGTGGATACAAATAGTGTGCATCTCAGAACTCTGCACATGGTTATTTGTTTCTCGATCAAAAGGAGTCATTTGTGCTCAGGCAGATAATGAGGATGGCTGAGGTCACATCCATAAGCGAACACTCCCTAGCTCCACGGGGGAGGGAGGGCAGTGAATGAAACCAAACACAGGGACGTGCACACAGACACATAATAACTGATGAGCAAAGAAAAAGCCACTGTTGGGGCGCCTGGGTAGCACAGTTGGTTAAGCGTCCAACTCTTGGTTTTGGCTCAGGTCGTGATCTCAGGGTCATGAGACTGATCCCCACGTTGGGCTCCACGCTCAGTGCAGAGTTTGCTTAAGACTCTCTCTCCCTCTGCTCCTCCCCTTGCTCTCTCCCCCGCTCTCAAATAAATAAATCTTAAAAAGAAAAAAAAAAAAAGGAAGAGCAAGCCACTGTTGATAGGGTTGATGTATTAGTTGGGCAGGAAGCTCTTGCATCAGGGCCAGCTGGTGCCCAGGGTCTGTTTGGATTTCCTTCTAAGCACTTTCAGCTTTTTCTTCCCTTGGTCTCATAAAACATCAACATTTGAACAGAAACCTCACATTGAAGATGTCTAAAACACAACTCCTCACTCCCTCCCCTCCACCTCCAAATGCTCTCCCTCCCACCCCCTGCCCCACATGGATTCCCGAGACAAATTCCCAGCCCCCTCTGCTTCCAGCACTACTCCAGAGGATCACTGAGTAGCCCAGAAAGAAAGGTCAGGTCGCGCTGGACTCCTCCACGTAACTTTCAAAACCAACCAATCAAGTCTTAACCCGTGGCCCCTCTGGAATATCCCTCAGATCTGTTCATTATTCCCAAACCCTCCTGCCACCGCCACATCTGTGCCTGGGTTCCAGCTCTAGATCTCTTGAGTGAACAGCTGTCTAGGTTTCTCATTGGTCTCGTGACTTCTAGTCCTCCCTGCCCACATCGATCTTCCACATTGCCCCCCGGAGTATCCTTCTAATCTGCTGATGGCACTCTCCTACTTGGAACCTTCGGTGTACTTCTCTGCCTGAAGGCTCGAGGCTAGGTCTCATGGGCCTTTCCCTGTGCACCGAGGACTCTGAAACTCCCAAAAGCACTCCCTACACTGAATCATAACAATCTGTTTTCATGCATATCTTCATGTTGATTAGGAGCTCCCTGCAAGCTGGACCTGGAATCTATTCCTTTCTGTCCCCCAGTGTCCAGCCTAAAGCCTGCTAGTGGAGGCGCTCAATAGATAATGTTAAATTAATTGAAGCAAGAGAACAACGCAAAACAGTGTGACACAGAGGAGACTGGCCCCTGAACACTAAGTGGCTGGTCTAATCTGAAGAACCTTGCCCCGCTCACAATGGCTCACGTGCCTGACAGATGTGCCCAAGGATCAGTTTGCAGCCGGGCTACAGATTAGAGGCTCCAGGGGTAGGTGTGGGGCCTTTGGAGACCCAGATAAAATTGGTACAATATGCTCCATAGGTAAAAGGGCAAACGGTCTGTTTTAATAGCTGAATTAGATTCTGACATTGGTTAGCAGGAAAGATGTTCAAGGTTCAGAAAATATTCTGGTATACTTGCTGAAATAGATTCATTGCAGGAAGGAAATCGCCTTACCTTTTAAGGGGAATTTTAAAAGGAAGCTTAAACCTGCTAGCCAAAACATGACCCTAACTGGGAAAGGCGTCCTCTCGGGGGGTGAAAGTTGGTGGTCGGTGGCCACCCTTAAACAGAGACCATCCCAACAAAAGTCTCTTTGTGGACCCAACAGTGTGTCCCTCGACAAATATTCACAATGATAAGATCCCAGTCCCGTGGAGCCAGCGGGCTTGGGGCCATCTCCATGAACTTCACAACCTTATTAGGAAGAGGATGGAAAGAAAGAAGCCCTTCCCAACTAAAAACGCACTTTGTTGCTTCCATGAAATTTGCTATATTTGTGCCCTAAGTTCTTCCAAAAGAATGTATAGTACAGACTGGTAATAGGAATACACCATTTCTAGTAATTGTCTTGTCTTTCTTTTCTTGCATTGGTTTCTAAGGAAACTGCTCCCTCTTATCAGGGAATCTGAGAAGTTATTCCAGGGCAGGTACAGAAGAAAAGGGGGGAAAAAATGTCTTGCAGGTAAAGTGTTGTTCCTGACCTTAGGAATAATGGCCACATCTGATGTGATTTTGCATGAAGAAAGTCCGTATGTCTGCTTAAAAAGAAAGGATGGTAAACCTGAAACACTTCAGATTTTCCAAAACAAGCCACACTTCCTTCAAAGCAGCGTCCTGAAGAGCTAATAATCTTGGCCGATTACTAAAGCCCCACGCAATCTCCCTGTGTAAGACTTCCTTCAGCATCAAAAAGCATGAACACAAAGAGGTAGAAATGAAGGAATTTATCAAATAATATGGGTATGTTCATTTTATATGATGCTCTGGCTTGCTCTATGGGCGTGTGTTCACATCTAATTTAAAAAAACAAGCGGCTAACAATAACACTTCTAAGAGTTGAAGCCAGAATTGGAAGTAGAAGGTGGAAGATGGGGAGTTTAAACAAAAGGCCAGGCAAAAGTCTAACACTTAGAAAAAAATCTTCATGTCTTCATGGCCCCTGGATACCCCCCTGAATTTGCATGTCATCTCCTGCAGCTCAAACCCTGCCACCTTCCCTTTAAGACACTCCATTTGGACTGCCTATAAAGCTGGCCCACCTACATGGAGGATGGCCTTGCCTGGGTCCAAGTCAGTGTCTGCGTGAAAGAATTCATTTCCACATTTGGAAACCTATTATGAGCATAAAAACATAGTTAAATCTGTGGATCAGAAAGGAGAAGAACATTGGCTCTTCTTCAAAGGAATGTTTAATTTCTCAAGATGCCCCCCTTTAACGTTAAATACCAATTTTGCTACTGGGAATTATGTTTCAGGGTATTCACTTCTAGTGTCTAAATTAAGATAGGAAATTAGAAGGAGAGGGTTGGAATGAACCCACTGTAAACTTTGATGTAGGTCCTAAGCCTCCTCCTCCTGTACGTGGTCAGCCCCTCAGTACCTCAGTGCTCTTACCGGGAAAATAGGGATAGACATGTCATGCACTAAATAGTGTTGGTTGAAGGATTAACTGAGGGCCTGCATATAGGAAGTGCTGCCCTCCAATACCCACTATGATGATGGTGTTGGGGGGGGGATGTACTGTAACAAGGATTAAATGATTTACTATAGGTAGATCCTGTACACAGGGCCTGAGGCACAGAAGATGACTATTGATATAACTGTTATCAATCATTGTTGAACACCTACTTTTCACAGATATTATCTTTTATTCCTCCCAAGGGTGAAAAACTGAAATTTGGAGGGATGAAGTAACTTGCTCCGAATCTCTGAGCTGGGAAGGAGCCATGCTGGGGTAAGAACCTAGGAGAGCCTGACTTCAAATCCCAGGCTCTTATTACTATGCTACACTTTTACCTTCAATTAAACAGCATTTCCTTATATTAAACCGTGTTAACTAGAGAACCCTAACTTAGAACTTTCCTCTCCTCCCTTCTTTTTCACAGCAGCTGAGGCCATGAAGTGTCCCTGGCTTGTCTCTCATACTACTTTCAGGGCTTTTGACTCTGGGCCCTCCCAACGCTGCATGCCCTCGCTCCCAACATCCACGCAGACCTAGCTCTAGGGCTGGTTGATTGTCCTGGGCTAGGTCCCTACTTCTGTTAAGAGATGAAGATTGAACTTTCTAGATTGCAACAAGCCAAACAATGGCAGGGTCATTTTTAACATTAAAAGTAAAACCGGGCTCCTAATTCCTAAATCGGTCCTCACCTTTTTTCTTCTGGGATATTCTCCAACAGCATTTGAAGGAAATCCTGGAAGAAGAAAAAAGCAAACCATTAAAGATGTCCATCAATAAATAACACTGTCCAGAATCATGCCAGAGCCCGAGTGCTCCCAGCTGCTGACAGCTCACCTGCTAGGGAAGCTAGGCCTGTGTTGACTTATTAGACTATATACTCTATTTATTAATTTACCAGGGCTTCAATCCAATCAGTTAAAGAGATTTATTTTGTAAAAACCACAAATTAAAAAATGTACTGTTTGTTATTTTGACCCAACCCAACAGTTTATTTCATGTTTAACTATTTTCAAAAGGCTGACCATAGCATAAAGCAGTATCCCCTCTCTACTTAACCACTTTCCCTAGAGATCCTGTGACACCTGAACACTCTTGACTCCAAGAGGCTAGGAACTAACTTGCAACACTCTTACACTGTTCACTGGAAAGATAAAGACAGGGTGCCTAGAGGCTCAGTCAGTAGAGCATGAGACCCTTGATCTCAGGGTTGTGAGTTTGAGGCCCACAGTGGGTATAGAGATTACTTAAAAAAATCTAAAACAAAAACAACAACAAAAAGATGAAGACAAAAATCAAGACAATTAATATCCCAGTGGAGGAACAAAGATGTCACAATTACAAAATGGCTGGTGGGCCCCTGCCTCAGTCTGAAGCTACTTCTAGTGACACTGTGCAATCTCCTATTGCTTCACATTTAGGATCTTTCAACAATAGATTTTTTTCAACCTAAACACATAACTTAGACACATCTATTTTTTCCTATACTGTGGAAAATTTCAAACACATTCAAAAGTAGAGAAGAGTATAATTAACCTTTATGTACCCATCAACCCACAGCCAATCCATCTTAACCTCTTAGCTGCCTCCTATATCATTCAGAAGTGAATCCCAAATGTTATATAATACCATCAATCAATGTTTCAGTAAATATCTCTAAAAGATAGACTCTTTAAAAATATAACCACAATACCATAGGCCTAAAAAAAATTCACATATGAATGCTCAAGATTACATTTATATTTAATTTGCACCTTGGGTATCATGACCAATCTTTTCAGCCCATAAATTCTAGAATCTTGATTTGGTCTCAACCAGATTTGTCAGATAAAATACAGGACGCCCAGTTAAATTGGGGGCATACTTTCACTAAAAAATTATTTGTTGTTTATCTGAAATTTGAATTTAAGTGGGAGTTGTGCATTTTTATTTGCTAAGTGACCCAAGGCTAGTGGTAACCTAAGTTGTCTGAAGGGTTTAAGAAGATACATTTTGGATAAATACAGAACACGAGACAGAGAAGAACAATATTCAACTTTCTGGACTTGATATTGAACAATCAATAAGATCTACACTTGAAGTTTTTATTTTAATAAGTTGAAAATAATCTTTTAAAACGGGTCCTTTAAAGAGGGGCCTCTGTGTAAGCCCAGATGACCAAACAGGATGCTACCAAACCAGAATTCCTGCAGAAAGAAGCCACACACTCCGCCCCACCCCGCAAGAATCAAGTCTGCAGATCCAGGGTCAGCACAGGGCTCTGATGAGATCCATTTAAGACACAGTGCGAGATGGAAGCAGCACCGACCTCCATATTACAAACAGATGGAATTAGGAATGGAAATCTGCAAACAATTTGTATGATGAGGTGTTCTCTCTCCATCATGGCACTGAGCAAAGCCACCGTCCCTGTGTGCTTACAGGTGGCTAGGGCCATTTCTTCCAGAGGCAAAGTCTCCCTATTAGGAGTACTAATGAAAGATTTATTTCTCCTAACCTCTGTTCTCCTTCCAAGTCATTATTTGTCTACTGCTGCTTCACCTACAATAAATGATACAAAGAGTAACAAAACTAATATGAAAAACATGGATCATGTAGTCATAATGGAAAGGGACAACTCCAAATAGAATGTCTCACATCTGGACCTGCAGTGGGTATACGGAGAAAAAAAGGAAATGAGTAATATCTAGAATGTGAAGAATTATTTTTGTTTGAGGTTCTTAAAGTCATTATTTTTATAATTTTAACAATCATTTTGTAAAAAGGTTAAATTAGAAATTGATTTATCACAATCTGATATATTGATTACTTTGCAAATATTTCATTGGCTTACTGACAGTATTTTTGCTTCTTAAAAATCTGAGTGCTGTACTGATAATTTCTTACTAAATTTTTCATTATCTCCTTAGAGTCCATATCAACTTATTCCATATTTGTCCAGTAATTTATGCTCAATTATGGGGGGGGATGACATTAACTCAATGACAGGGGGGAGAACTGAATTGCAGGAGAAGCAGGAAATTCAGAGTTAACCTTAATTCTGCCCTTTTGCATTTTCCAATTACAATTGGATCTTTCTTTACAGGAATGCAGAGCACAATGTTCCAGAATTTTGTGTCAATATAGGATAAGTACAGGAGGTCCCCAAGAAACCTTGCTTCATTTTTATGAAACCTTGTTCCGCCTCCTGGTAGGTGGCCATCTGCCTCTCCTGCCTTAGGGCTGAGACCTGGAGGCCACCCAGCAGCTCGCTGGAGGCTCTCAACCAATGCTGGGGACAACAGGTCTAGAAGATCACAATGGATCACAAAACCCCACCACCTCAAGCATCTCTAAGGCATGGTGCCCATATTCCCATGGGCTATGTGAATGCCCATTCACAGTTCTAGATGTTCTGTCTAGACTCCATCCAATCCAAAGAGATTCTTGGCCCCAATGCTATAGCAGCTATTAGTGGATTCAACCCTACTGGCTGGCCCTTCTTACTCCTTTCATGATCTAATCATTAACCATGACATGCTAGTTTTCCTGGTTCTTTTTGTAAACTGGCATACACTCCTGGAGTGGACTCATGATAGACGCTTTTCTCCAATCTCCACAACAGGAGAACATAAAAAGAAAAATGCTTCCTAAGATTATTCCTTCCCTCACCACCTCTTTTCAATTCTTTCATCCATCTTTCCTCTTCGCTTCAGCATGTTGGCAATTTTGTAAAGGCAATTTACAAATCTTAACTGGACAAGGAGGGCTTTCCTTCAAGGCTGATTCTAGGATCATAGACAAAGTTGTCTAGCATCAGATGCCAGAGTCCCAGTTTGTCACCTCTACAGTATGTCTGAAAAAAGATTAAAACCAAAGGGAAACAAGACAATAAAACCCCCCCAAAACAAAACAAAAACAAAAACAAAAACAAAAAAGGCCTCCTGCTGTTTTGACAGCAGGCTAGGATAAAATTTTATCTGGATCCTTGGAAATTATTACAAGCCCTCACCCCAATCAAAAAATTTTTTCTTTTCCTTGAGAAAATTTTTTCATTTCCTCCTCTCTAACATTCTATATGCGAATCAGGTCAGTCCCAGAGAGCTTATTTTCATCAACACCTAACAACATTAAATTAAGCATGATTAAAAAAAAAAAAACTATGCTGATTTTTGGCACATGGCTAATTTGGTAATTATTTTTTTAGTCCTGGTAAAAATATTCAATAAAAAGCAGGTACACATAGATTCTATGGGATAAACTGGCAATGGCTTGATAATTGCACAGGTTTAGTGATTTCTTTCAGATGTTTTATGAATAATTACCATGGTCATGGGGGGTGGGTAGGAGAGGCAAAATAAATAACCAAATAATTTAAGCAAGGACCACGTCGGCAAGATAAGGACTGAGACATGAATTGTCTGGGAAGAAGTCATTGTTAACCTGCAGTGGGGCCTGGGATGGTGATAAACCAAAATGTTGCGTGGGTGGGGTGTTCACAAGGGAAAAGATTAAGAAGCAAACTGGAAAAAGAAGAAATTGAAGGACTTCTGAGCAAAGAAACTGGATCACAGCCTTTGTCATCACTAACAAGCAATATAAACAAAAACCCAATCCACTAATAAAAAAAGGGGGGGAGGCAGAAATGTCACCAGAGGCATCCAAACAAGGAAAGAAGGACAGCCTCGTGGCATAAACTTCAAAAGGAGACAACTAAGGAAAGAGACATAAGATTCCAACAGAGCCTCCAGCCCTCACTCTGCACCACCCCCAACCTCATGCTTAGCAGTAGTGGGACTGGTGAATTGCCCAAACCCTGCAAATTCTCACAAATACCCACACATTTGGAAAGAAACAGGAATATCTTTATCTTTCCTCCTTTCTTTCTTTTTCTTTTTTTTACCGTTAAGGGACTAGAAATGTTTACTGGAGAGAGATGAGCAAAAGCTGGGAAATAAACAACTAAGATGCTCTTTAGGGCTGTAGAGCTTCTAGAGCTCCACGCTGAACTGCAGGAACAATGTGAATTGAGAGAGTACCTGCAGTGGGGAAAAAGCTGCATCCAAATCAGGTGAAAAGAATCTTGACTGGAACATTTAACAGAATTTCAAGAGTTCATGGAGCCAAATTCTTACAACAAAAGCTGTATGCAGCCCCAGTGGAGCTCTTCCCCTCCAGCTCCACCATGCAGAACATCCAAGCTTCAAACTGTAGCTCAGAGGGAAAGAAAACATGTCTCCGACGAGTTGGGAAAGAAATCAAGAATAATGTTCCCATACATATGAGAATAAATAAAAGGTCAGGACAGGGCTACACATGCTGAGAATGAGCAAGAAGAAAAGTATGGCGACTAGGCAAATTAATGTAACAAAACCCACATAAAGAGAGAGCAGAACTAAGAAACACAGGATAAAAGACAGACTCCAGTCTTGAAGAAAACATAATGCAAGGAACAGAAGAAAATTCTCTATGAATGTTTTACACTATAAAATAAATTAACAAAAGATCATAATAAGAACATAAAGTCAGTAAAATGAAAGCTCAGAGACAAGATGACAAAACAACAAAATGAGATGAAAAGAAGATTTCAAAGCAAAGGAAATAAATTAAGGACCAAAATAGGGGCACCTGGGTGGCTCAGTCGTTAAGCGACTGAGAGAGACCTAAGCTGAAGGCTCAGGTCATGATCCCAGGGTCCTAGGATCGAGCCCCGCATCAGGCTCCGTGCTCAGTGGGAAGCCTGCTTCTCCCTCTCCC